GTTTGTGAAGTATTTTATTTGTTCTATGTGAGGAGTGGAGAACAGCTACTAACTGCATCCTACCAGTTATTATAAAACTGTAGAAGTCTATCCTGTTCTTTTAAAAGATCAGTTAGTCTCTCATAGAGAATGTTTTTTTTTTTTAAAGTCTATTAAATTCATTTCTTAGGGTATGTCTACATTTGCCCCCTAGTTCGGACTAGGGAGGCAAATGAAGCATACCAAAGTTGATAATGAAGCGTGGATTTAAATATCCCACCCCTGATTAGCATATTCGCAGCCGGTCGCCATTTTAAAATGCCGGTCGCCCAATGTAACTTGCCGCGTGTAGATGTGGTCGTCCGATTTAAAACCCTTCCCTCGAACTAACTGTTACTCCTCGAGCAATGAGGAGTAACAGTTAACTCAAAGGAAGGGTTTTAAATCAGACTTCTGTGGAACATTATGGCAGTTCTATGATTCTTGATAGTAGATCTTTCATAAGGCCTTTGTCATTAGTGACCACACTATAGCTGTGACCAGTGCATTGTAAGCCGATCTGTCAAGCCAAACAAACAATTCACCTTGTTAACATTCCCTAAATCTTGCATTAATAGCACTGAGTAAGCCTATGAACACACAAGAGAGTTCCTTTTTCCTACTGTCATGATGGATGGGATACTTTCAAGTGCTGGAAATGAAGTAGCTGAGATTATTAAGCATGTGCTGCTGTTGATTTTCATTTTTAAAGGGGGCAAAGTAATCAGCATTTTATTCTGAAATGAATGTACTAAAAATTAAACTTGATATTTAAACATATAGTAAACATTTTCTTGAATAGCTTTTTGTCACAGATATTGGCATGGGAAAGGGCAGTGCTGTATCATCGGACGTAATCTCAGAATGTAGTAACATAGACTATGGCAGTGGTCTCCAACCTTTTTAAAGCACAAAATCACTTTTTGAATTTGAGCAATCCAATATCTATCTACCTTAGACCCAAATACCCTTGTCTCGCCTTCTTTGTGCCCCTTCTCTGAAGCCCTGCCTCTGCTAACTCCATCCTCCTTCTCTCTGCCATCCTCCCTCCCTTTCACCAGGATGGGGCAGAGGGTTGGGGTGCAGGCTCCGGTCTTGGATTAAGGGATCTGGAGTGTGAGAGGGACTCTGAGCTGATCTTGGGGCAGGCATTTGGGGTGCTGGAGGAGGTTCTAGGTGCAGGCTGTGGGTGGGTGTTTGGATACAGGGTGGGGGCTTGGGGTACAAGAGGGGGTTCTTGATTGGGGTAGGGTTTCAGGATATGGACTCCAGCTGGATACTGCTCACCTCAGATGGCTCCTTGGTGGTGGTGCAGTGTGGGGCTAAGGCAGGCTCAATCTTACCCTGGCCCTGCATCACTCCCAAAAGCAGCCAACAAACTCCATCCCAAGTCCTGTTGTGCCCCCTCTCTGCTCTGTGGAGATAGGATACCCTGACATCATCACCTCTCTCCCTCTCCTGCCCTGCACAGAAAGCAGGAGGCTCCTGAGGGGACAGCTCCAAGGATAAAAGGGCAGGAGATGCACCGGAGTGGGCGGAAGGGCAGCTGAAGTGCTGGCACTTGATAGCCTCTTGGCCAAACCTGTCAGGATCACCTGTCAGAGGCTCCAAGATCTACCAGAAGATCCCGATCTATGGGTTGGTGACCACTGACTATGGTATTGAAGATGTTTATTTTAGCAAACTTGTATGATTAGAAAAGAATTGGAGTAACTGTAGTTTATTAAAGGTTATCGTAGGGGATAAATAAAAAAGGACGTGAAAAGAATTGAATGATATTATGTATTTTCTGTATTACAGACTATCATTTTAGAAAATGAAGATCTCCCCAAAATATTTCTAGACTTCTTGAATGTTCGTCATGTTCCCTCCCTACCAAAGGCAGAAAGTTATGGGTAAGAACTCATTAACTAAAACAACTCAAAATGTACAGGAAAAACAAGACAGAACTGATTCTCTCATACTGTGTTAGTTTTTTAATTATTTAAAATGGACTTGCTGTTATGTTAAACCACTCAAACTAAAAGGAGCATCAGGTACATTATGAATACATTTATATAGCAACAAAAAGATGATAAAATAAAATACATATTGTAAAAAGACTTTTATTATATGTCCATTGAAAGCAAAGGAGAAACAGGCTTAGATAAAAGCAAAATAGAAAAAATGGGATTTTCTAGCCAATCTTTGAAATGTCTACCAAAGAAGAATTTTAAAAGGAATGAACGAGAGAGAGAGAGTGTGCATGTGTTGGAATCTGCTTCTACTTGCACCAGTGACCCTCAGTGCATGGCTTCTCCCATCTACTTGTGGAAATGGGGATCAGCTGTGTCCATGGTGGCATCTACATCAGTGTCCACACTTCCCTTCCAGATAAGAACTCAGGGTTGGTTTAGATGGAGGGGGGAAGGAAGATGCCTATTGTCCTCCCTTAAGTGTACCAGAGATTCCCAGAGTCATATAGGTAAAATTATATTGTATTCTGTTGTTTCTTCCCTTTAAGGATGAGATTCTCTGCTGTACCTCTTAAGAGGTGGAACATTAGAATTCACACTCTTGGGAGAGGAGAGTGGCCAAAGAGGTTTAATGTTGTGGTTTTGTCATCCCTATCCTGAGCCTGCCCTCAGGCAGAGCAGGTTCTGGATTAATTTAGGAAGCCCCAAGGGCAAGGCTGATTTACAGCACCATTCTTGGGCTGTCCTATAGGTTGTATCTCTGCCTGGAATTCCTACAACATTGTGTGCTGTGGCCCTGCCTCTGACTGCCTCAGCTTTTTCCCTAGCATGCCAGGGCTTGTGAGATAGTCCTAGGAAAGTGGCCTTGTAACTGTCTTCTGCAGTTCCTGCACTCAAGCAGATTTGGGGGGTTGGGAGCCCCTTTATGCTGCTGCAGCCCTTTTACCTGGTGTAAAGTGGCTGGAGCGGGGGTTAAGGATCTCACTGAAACCCTCCTGTGGTCAAGGAAGTTTCCAGTAGAGCTGTGCTGTCGGTCAGTATGGCCAAAGCCACAGCAGACTAGAACTACTATGGAAGTAAAGGGATTTTGGACAGGCTTTGTGGGGTCAGGTCTTTGCTTTTTTCCACACTATAGTAAAAACTGCTCCATCCCAGCAGAAGAATGTATAGGGTACTCTTGTCAGGGCAGTTTCATAGCCTTTTGTATTCCTTTATGTGGGTGTTTCCAAAAAGACTTCAGTCTCAGTCATGATTTTTCATAAAACCTTCTAATTATAATTCCAAATTATGAGTTTGGGAAATCATAGTTCACTTTCAGTACATATACTGGAGATGTAAAAACACGGTTAATCAGTTAACTGGTTAAACCTTAGATTTAACCAGTTAACCGATTAAGTTGGATCCTGAGCCTCCCCTGCTCGTGGCAGGCTGCAGATGGCGGGCTCCAGTAAGAGTGATGCTTACCAAGTAACCGGTTACCCATTCACATCCCTAGTACATACATAGAAACTCTTTAAGGGATGTAGGAATTCTTTTACTCATCAAACACTTTATAAAATTGGTTTTAAAATGTTCACATAACAGCAAACATACTTCACTTAGAGCTAGTGTAATGTTATCAGTTATGCTATTGTCAATAATAATGTGAAACATAAATGTTCTAACTTTATTGCCCCCCCCCCAAAAAAAAAGTAAATATGGCAGCTTCAGTGATTGAGGGATGAGCTACTTGACACTCTTCTCTTGTAGTTAATGATGTCAACCAGAATCTCTCAAAGGAATTGTACCCCCATCACTTTTATATCTTTGTGCATGTGAACCTATTCCAGTGAAATATATGTTGTCATTTACAAGCTGTGATCACTATAAAATCATGAGAGTTCTTCCATATTAATTGCATTTCTAGCCACTGACCAGAAAAAGGGTCCTTTCTTTTGTAAAACTTATTAAAAATTTCCTTGGTATAAGGAATTACATGTTAATGTCACTATAAGGAAGCATAATCTTATTTGTCTGCATTTTTGTTTTAGCTCTTTTGATGAAACAGAATCCGAAGAATCAAGGTGAGCAACTCACAATTTCTGCTAGTGTTTCTTAAATGTGTAAGAAATAAAAGCCAGGCTTTCTTTGCTAATTTTCTCAAGGAGCTTGGTTTAATAGTCTACTAATGTATAAAACAAGGGTACTGAAATAATTCTATATACATAAAGTGATTTCCTACATTTGTTCCAACAATTGACAAAATAGCAATAGTTTGGCATTAAACTTATTAAACACTGCATCTGGCTTCATAAGCGAGACCAGATCTGTTTATAGTATGAATTGCACATGTCTCAAATTTATATTCTGGAATTTCTTACAGAAACTTAAGGGACCTAGGACTTAAAGAGCTTAACTCTCTGAGTATTTTTACCCCATGCTAGGTGTTTGTAACAAGTGGCCTATAATTGAAAGAGAGAGGGTTTTTTTTCCCCATGCTTTTAACAGAACTTTGCATACATTCAGTTTCACTATATGTATTCAGTCAGTCTGTTGGTTGCTCCTGTTGTTTTCACGTGCAAAGAGATGAATATTTAAAAAGACCCTGAAACCAGGAAATGTGATTGTAAAATCTTAAAGCTTGGAAGGGGAATTTAAATACAGCTTTAGAAATTGTTTATTTAATTAAAAGAAGAAGACAGTACTCCTGCTCTGGTCCCTTAACTCCAGGTAAAAGAGCCAGGGCAGTGTGAAGGGGCCTTAGCAGCCTTGCTACTGGTTCCCTTGACATAGGGGGTAGACTGCTGCCATAAGGCTGTTTTCCAGTTATACTCTCACAAGCCTTGGCAAAGGGGATGTGTTGGGGTTGTGTCTGCTGCAGGAGCACTGCAGAGATTTCGAGTAGTTCTGTGGCTGATTGGGCAGCCCCAGAGACTTATTTATTGTAGAGGATACTCCGTGGCAGTCTAAATATTCTTTCGGACCACAGAACAGCCATGAATCAGGAGGGGCATCGTGGTATCTTAAAGCTATCACCATCTTTACTACCTCCTCTTTGGACTTCGTTTCAAATTTCAAGCTGATGCTGTTGCCTTAAGTGACTAAGCAACAGTGTGCTTTGCTCCCAGAACGCTTTCTCCTTTCCATAGAGTTTGCGCAAATAAACATACCAACATGATTCCTGAGCAGCTTGATTACCTCACTTTATCAAAGGGAGTTTGTAGTATATCCTGTTTACCGTCCCTTGATGCTGATATTCTTGTGCTTGACCTTTCCAGCAAACTGTCCCACCAGCCTGTGCTGCTGTTCCTGAGGGATCCATATGTCTTGCCTACAGCCACTGGTAATCAAACTTGTCATCTGTTAACAGCTCTTTACTGATCTGACCCTACACCACATAAACCACATTATTATTATTATTATTACAGGCCTTTTTGAGTAATACTGGTCCAAATTCTAATAATCTGCCAGTAAACCTGTTGTGCTTACATTAAGCTCTTTTAAAATCCAAATTGGGACAGGTGATTTATATAATGATGTAATTTTGTTCTCTCTCCGTTGTCCTCCTAACCAAATCTACTATGGATTCAAATGACAAAAAGACTTAAAATACTGCTTCTTTTTGTTGTTGTTGTTGACCATGTGCATTCTTTTGCCTGCAGGGTTTAATCTAAAAGGCACAGTCCTTTTTTAAGTGTTTTTTCTCTAAAAACCAGTTGAGCTACTGTGAGCAAGTTTATATTTCCATTTGGGTTATTGTTATTTCTTATTATTTCTTAGCGGTAGATTTTTTTTTAAAAGATTGTCTATTTTGAGCATAATATGCGTCTTTGGAGAATATTTATTTGATCTATTAAAATGTATTTCAAAAGAACATTTGGAAGAGGTAGTTATAATCTACCATCTCTTTTGCTCTTCCTCAATATCCTTTGTAAAAATAATTCAAGGTCTTTTCCCCTTTGTTTTTCCCTGGAGATTATATTATTGGCAGATATTGCAGTGTTCCTGCATTGTTCATTTGAATTGATAGAAGTGTCGCCCTTTCCACACTTTTGTATAAGAAAATGTACTTTGTGCATGTATAAATTTCAGTATGCGAATTTTCCATTTAAATTGTAAATTAGGATTTTCCAGTGAGGAGGAAAAATAACAAATTGCTCTTACTTATTTGTTAAGCTCTGTCTCCCTGAATGTGGGCTGCTAACAAAAATGACAGCTTTGGAAATAATCTGACAGTTTGGAGCTTTCCACACATAGTTCTGCAAATACACCACATGTTCAAAGCATGCATCAAGAAATTATAAAATTGCTTTAAATCAGGACATTTAAAATAATAATTAATATTGGGTTCTTTGTGTTTGCCTTGGGTTTCTCAGCCTTTGGTGTGCACTTCCTTTCAAATCCCTCGTCCCCCAAAACCATGAGAACTAGAAATTTAAAAAACACACTGAGATTCTCAAGAAGCCACATGACTCCAAGAGCTGGGACTTGTAACATCAGATATTGCGTGACTTATGATAAAAGCATGAGAACTGGCATGCTAGGCACATGATTCCTAACTTACAATACACCTCCAAAGTCAGACCTGGATTCCTCCAAAGCAGAGTGTAATTACTGAAGCTTTTATTCTTTGAGTGAACCTGTTAAACTATATAGCAGGTATAGTATACCAATAAACATCAAGGATTCAAACTTTAATAGGGTTCAAAAAAAGAGCTAGATGTATTCATAGTGATTAGGACCATCAATGGCTATTAGCCAGGATGGGTAGGAATGGTGTCCTTACCCTCTGTTTCTCTGGAGGTGGGTGACAGGAGAGGAATCACATGAGGATTACCTGTTGTGATCCCTTCCTCTGGGACATCTGGTATTTGCCACTGTCGGCAGACAGGATACCGGGCTAGATGGATCTTTGGTCTCACCTAGTATGGCCGTTCTTATGTTTCTTATGTTTAGGGTGAAATCCTGCCCCCCATTGAAACCAATTATTTTAAGGGCTTGGGGGGGTTAGATTTTTCTCTATTTAAATTTTCACCAATTGCAGGAAATTTGGTTAGGGTCAGACAGTAATTATTTAATGATATTAGGCTGTGAGACAGTGTAAAAACTAGACAGTGTTAAAACTTTGTAATGGTTAAAACACAATTTTTCAACATCACATGTCAAAGTATAGGTCATATCTCCTAGACCCAGCATCCTGGGGACCTGACTGATCCCAAACTAGGGAATCTACTGGACCAGAGGAGGTCAATACTAACCCCTTTTTTGGAAGCCCCCTAATTCCTTGTAAAACGAGGTGTACAGGAGCTTCCGGAAAAGGTTTTTTTTTCCCAACATTTAGCCCCATGTAAACAGATCAAATATCACAAAAGCCTCTTGTGGAAAAAGAATTGGAAGAAGATATGCAAATGTGAGCGCAATTTGCATACCTTCATCAAAAAAAACCCACAGTGTAGCCGTGCCCTCAGGGATGTCAGACCACAGATGATGTCAGACTATAGAAGTCAAATCTGTATACCAAATTAATATCCTTGAATCTCACTTTGCCTGCCAGTTTTAGTTATTATCTGGAAATATTCTTCATTGGTTTCTCTGGGGTGAAATCAGCATTTACCAACATTTACTGACAAAAAACTAATGCTTCCAAGCCTAACTGTATTGTACCATTTCCATCTGATCCACATAATATCTCAAATTATTACAGAAGCTTTTAGTTCTGACTTTTGCAACACTTGGACGTCTACATTTTTTCTTATAACTTGTACTCTAAGAATGACAATACTTTTTATTGAAGTCACTGAGAATTTAATATTTAATTTAACTATTTTAAGTCATGGTTCCTTTTTAAATGGCTAGTTTTAATGTGTGAGATGTGTTGAGATGCCAAACATTTAGTTAATAGCATTCAAAACAAACAACTCTTCAGGGATTCACCAAAGGGTTTTTTTGGTTGTTGTTTGTTTGGGGGGTTTTTGCCTTGAAACATAATTCTTAGTTTTTTATATAGCAAGTGAAAAAAATGTTAGTTCAATGAGTTTGTATTTATTCTCAACTGTTCAACAGCCCTTAGCTGCTTCCAGTTCACTCCTCAGAACAATTTTTGATTTACAGGCAGTCCCCGGGTTACGTACAAGATAGGGACTGCAGGTTTGTTCTTAAGTTGAATTTGTATGTAAGTCGGAACTGGTACATATTGTAGGGGAAACGCTAGCCAAACATTTCTCCAGAGGTCAGTTTTATTCTCCCACACCTCACTTCCCTCAGTCCTTTATTCTCAAGATGAGGTGTCTGCTGAGAAAAGCCGCTCCGCATCTCCCTGGTCTGCTGGGGGAGGGGGGGGGCGCTAGCTTCGCGTCTCCCTGGTCTGCTGGGGGGAAGCAGCTAGTGCGGGGTTGCCTCACCCCGTTTGTAAGTAGGGATCCGATGTAAGTCGGATCCATGTAACCCGGGGACTGCCTGTACTATGAAACAGCAAAATGTCTTTTTCATTACATTATGTTACATGATTTTTATACAAGAAAACTTTAACAGTCTATTATCTCTATCCTATTTTAGAAATTACAAATCAGTATTATGTCCTGATTTGTCCTGATTTTACAGAAACAGGATTAGGACTAACACACCTCTTTCACTGATTTTAATACGTTCTGTATATTTTCAGTTTACCACAAAGGGCAAAAAATAAATAACTTTTATAATTTTGCCTCCTTGATTAACTCTACTACCTTAATGGATTCTCATCCTCTCAAGTAGCAGCCCTTTCCTGATAATTCACAATACTATGACCAAAATTGGACTTCTGTTATAATCAGTCACAGAACGTATTAGTTTTCTGTATTACATACACCGAAATGTTTATACCGTATATATAAAATCATTTGACATTTCCACGGTTTACTTTTTTCTGTAAAAATGACAAGGGGCTTTTTCATTGTATCTCTTTGGAGAAGATAAACTAACAGTTGTTTAGATCAGAATTTAAGTTTGTCTTTTCTTCTTTTCCTGGGTAAATTTCACATGTATTAACATTGTCCTGTGGTGTTATACAAGGAAAAAATGGTACCAAAAATTAATTTCTCATTTGCTCCTGCTATTATCAGTCTTTAGAAAACACTGGGCCAAATTCTGTGCTACTGCTATTTCGATTACATCCATTTGTTTTGTCATAACTGAGTACAATTAGCCTCTGTTAATGTAACCTATAAAATAGTTTAAAATAAATAAGCAGGTATAATTTGGGAAAAAAGAAATTTGTTAGAGGAGCAGTGAACCAAAATTATTACTACTGTTTTCAAATGATCTATACCACTGTTTCTCAACCTTTTTTTTTATAAAGTACCCCTTTTCCAAAAAAAAAAATAAGTATCTCCAGTACCTACAGTTTTCAGACACGCAAAAATGTTTTTACCATTGCAACACATTTGTTTAAACGAATTAATTATAGGTGGGTGGTCGATTACATTTTTGGGGGTAAAAAGTACAAAATAATAAAACTCTAAAACTTAAAACAAAAAAAATCAGTTTTATCCAAATTTCAGTTGTATTGATATACTCCCCAGACTTCTCTTGAGTACCCCCTAAGGGTACTCATACCACTGGTTGAGAAACACTGCTCTACACAACAGACAACTGCAAAAAGCCATCAGTAATGCATTTTCAAAATGTCTTCCATGTACAAGAAGTCTGGGCACAAAAACAGAGAGAGCCTTAGCTGTACTAAGTGTATGGAGTCATTGAGTTCTAGCATAATCTGTGATTTCAACCCATTTGTGGCAGATGGATTAGGTTATAGTTTTCAAATCATGTGGATGTGATTATATAAATTAATTCAAATAAATAACATTTAACAGATAAATGGTTATTTTTGCATCATTTTGTCCCACTTTTACTTTTTGTCTTTCACAATAATTCTTGATCTAGGAAAGATGATTTGTTATCTTCCTCTGTAATTGAATACACATTGGCTACATCTACACTGGCCCCTTTTCCGGAAGGAGCATGTAAATTTCACCTATCGTCGTAGGGAAATCCGCGGGGGATTTAAATACAGCAATGTGCTGCCCTACCACCACTGGCCACAGTTCTCCATTATTGATCAAGGGGAGGTGCAGAAGTGGTGTCTACTGGCAAGGACAGCATGTGGAGAACCCCTACTTTGAAGTAGGAATAAGAGCCTCCGGAAAAGGGTGCTTTTTCCGGAGGATCGGGGCCAGTGTAGACGCTCTTTTCCGGCTTTTTTAAAAGCCGGAAAAAAGCGGCGGACATTTTTATTTAAATGCCGCGGGGGATATTTAAATCCCCCGCGGATTTCCCTACGACGATAGGTGAAATTTACATGCCCCT